TTGCCACCATCACCGGCGACGGTAGCGTCGTGGCCTGGGGCGACTCGAGGCCTTGCACTGCAGATTAGGGTTTAGAGTTTAGGGTTTAGGGTTTGCGCTGTACTCAGAAGGTCATGGAGGTTCACTAAATAGGTCAGTAGTGGGGAAAATTGTGGTCATTACATGGCTTATAGGGGTTACTACCCTAGTGACTTAGTCCCCGTGAACCTCCAAGTAGGGGCCTGAATAAAGACCACTGGGCTAATGGGGACATAGCGTTCGTGGAAGGGTTCAAGTTACATTTATATACATCTACATCTACAATCCTTTTATAAAATCATCCTATGAAGACGTACACATGTACGGATGTAGGGTTCGCCCAGGTTAAGAGCATAGGTTGTTTTGAATTCTGGCTCAGGGGCTTGAGAGTCAAACCTAAACCTAAACCCCTTCACTGTTCAAGGACTTAGCCTTCAAGGCTTGGGGCTTGGGCTTGAAGGTCTCTAGGGTTTCAGAGTTTTAGGGACTGCTTGGAGGGTCACGGGGACTTCGTAAGTAGGTTAACTAATAAGCCCTATAATACATATAGTAATCCTAGTTATCCGCATTATTAACCCACTTACCAAGTCCCCCTGACCCTCCAAGTAGGGCTTATGTTTCAGGGATTAGGGTAAAGGGCTTAGGGTTCAGAAACTTAGGGCTTCATTGAAACGAACTCACGTGACAGTATACAAGGATCCCTAAATCTTAAATCTTAACCCCCACCTGAAATCCCGAACCCTCCCTAAATCCTAAGCCCGAAATCCCAGACCTTGGATCCCAAACCATAAACCCTAAATCCAAGACCCCAAACCCTGAACCCTAAATCCTAAACCCTAGATTCTACTTAAGGGGGACTGTAGGTGTTAAAGCCTTTTCAGTGCCAAGTTGCTACAGGAACGATCTACCTAGACCTTTGTAGGTTAAGGGGTTTAGGTTTTAGGGGTTTAGGTTTTAGGGGTTAATGGGTTTAGGGTTTAGGGGTTGAGGGCTTAGAATTTTGGATTGCGGGTTCGGGGGGCTTGGAGTTAGGGGTATAGTATACCTATGTTTACGTCTTGTGTCTGTTGTATACGAACCTTAGGGTTCCTACAAAAGGAAATAAGGCTCAGAGGTCTAGGCAAGACCTCTCACTGGCAGTTGGAAGCTTGTTGCTCGAGGTTTGCTGCTTCGAGTTGTTTGAGTTGAGAACAGGGGCTGCTCTCAAGATTCTGCGGCTGAGAGCGTCTTGGACCTATAGACCCCTCCATGACTCATTATATAGGGGTTATATAGGGGTATTATATTGGGGATTATATTGGGATAATGGAAAATAAAAGGGAAACTACTAGAGGATTCCAAGCAACGAATAGCATTTGCACATTCCTTTTGTTCTATGGGTTTTGCAAGCAAGCATTCTGCGATTGGAACACTTAACGTATATACGTTTGGAGTATGGGCTCACCTCGCATGTATCTCAACTGGGCCAGATACCCATGTAGTAGACATGTAGGCTCCAGCTTAGCCTGTAGGAAGCCCCTTGGGTCCCAAATATGCACTAGATAGGGACCTAGACCCTTTGGGTATATATCAAGGCCCGGTGCCTGCATGCTCCAGGTATGGCGGAGAAATCAAGGCTCTTCAGCCGAGCGATGTGCCTTGGGCGAAGGTCCTTATGTCCAAAAAGATTGGCATTCCTCACCCTAAAGCAAACTACGTATTCCCTAAGGGTCCAAGTGCTTAATTATCATATACTTACTGAAAACCTGTATACTACAATTGCTATCACCAAAATCCCAAGTATCTGGTTATTAGGTAAATGGAGCCCTAGGAATGGTGCAGAACTTTGACCAAATCCTTCAACTATGAACCCTTGGAGCTTTAGGGTTAAGGATTTAGGGTTCAGGGTTTAGGGTTAAAGCATTTGGAAGACGTATCTGCAACCTTATGAAAGGGACTCGCCTCAGGTGCTGGGGAGCTCCAATATCATGCGGTAGGTCTTAAGCTTTAAGCCGCAAGCCCCCGTAGGTCTTGACGCCTGAACCTCAGGCTTTAGGGTTCAGGTATGAGTTATAACGACCTGCTCCCATATCGTGTTTTAGTTTGTTTCACATATCGTCCCAAATTGGCCTAGTTTCAGGCTTTGAAACTGGGTAGGCCCTGGGATGTTTACTATTTTCCCTACTGGCTTAAATACGGGACCCTATATACTAATTTGTTTCAAAGGGTTTTAGGGGCCAACCCAGGAAAGTATGGCAAAATGGCCAGCTTCAGGCTCAGGAGTTTCCATGTTGAGAAAAGTCAGGGCTCAAGGAGTATTTAGGCGCTTCTTTGCTGGATCAATGTTAGGGATCCTTTATACTTTTGGGGGTATTGGATTCCATTCCTTATGTTATTGTAAAAAGGATCCTTTTTTTCTTCCTAGGGTAATGTGGGCTAAGTTTGCTCTTTGGTGACTGGATATACTTTGATCGTTACCCCCCCCCCAAGCCAAAAGGGTTCATAGTGAGTCATAATGCTGATGTGCCTTGGGAATTGGCTTTGCACCAACTGGCCGTTATCTGTATCACATCTATTGAGTTTGACAGCCATGGCTCACCAGCTTTTGTGTCGATGATGAATGACTCCCCGTAATTGGGATGTATAGACGAACGGCGGGGCTAGTGGGAGAGGATAGGAGAAACCAGGACACCTTCGACACAAATTCTCCGCATCCTCAGTCCCTAATGCTTAAAGTGCTTTGTAGTACATCTAAGATACCTCTGAAAAGCCGACCCGACAACTGGTTTTCCAAAACGAATACTTCATAAGCACAGCTTTGAAAGTTTGTCCAAGTTATATGCCGCATGTGGGCTGCCACTTGTCCAAAATAGAGGTGTTCTAAGGAAATCCGAAGTCTGACAATCCATCGATTCGACTCTAAACCCTCTAGACCCTACCCAGGTGCAACACCTTAGCGCATCACGCTATGCCTTTGCTGCACTACGTGCTGACGGATCTGTGGTAGCTCTTCTGCACAGCCATTAGTTCATGAGGATATGGTCTCGCTCCCTTTTCTTGAGGAATCCCCCGCCGCTGAGGACATCCGGCCCCAGGCCCCCTAATAAGGCCAAATATCTAATAGCAGGGGTTGATACATAATCCCTGAGCCCCAACCCCTAACCCCTAACCATGATTGGCGGGCTTTCTCCCGAAGTAAGGGCCAGATCTTCCACCTGGAGGGTCGGGGAGAATCAGGAAGTATGTTTTAGGGAGGACCCTTTCAAAAGGGTCATAGGAATTTCTGTATATAAATATACGTATGTAGGGATGCATAGGGTTTAGGGCCAGGCGGACTTAGTAAGTAGCTCTGACCCTCCAAGCACAATCATTCTGGGCAGCGTACAAGGAAGCCACCCGATCTGACCTTTTCAAGGTGGTTTATACAGGAAACAGTCCCAAATTTGCTTACTTTCGGTCAAATCCTAGCTGCTGTGTTATAGACTAGAGGGGAGGAGAGTACACGGATCGTCATGGTCAGGTACTTACCCTGCAGCCTCCAGATAGGACACACCCTCTAAGGACCCACTTCTCCGGGTCCTTAGGGGCTCCGTCCTATAGCCCTAAACCCTATATAGTCCCCCTTAACTAGATAGAATATTGGGTATATGGGAATTTTGTAATATACCCAAAGCCATATTCTATCTACTTAAGGGGGCTCAAACCATGTTTGGTGGCCCCTGTGACATCCATCCTCCATGAGTCCTTCGAAGAACCCTGTTGATGCTCTGTAGGACACTGCAGGGAGTGGTGGAATGTGCTATGGGGAGTTTATAGGGCTTCATACGGGAACAGCTGCAGGGATCTATACCTACATTCGCTACTGTGCGCCAGGTAGATTTTCCGTGTACATCTTCGGCCAAACAGTGCGGTCTTTCGGAGGTGTCAGCCCGTGTTCCCACAAAAAGGCCCTAGACCCTACCATAACCTATGTAGGTCCTACTTGGGGCTATCAGTAGAGAGTACTTGGGGCTTTACCATGGGAGTTTCTGCATATCCCTACAGCAATAGGGCCAATATCACCTGAGGTCTATACGGCACGGGACCTGAGTCCCTATCAAAAACGGACCCCGGGTATTGGATAGTCCTCAGAGATTGGGCAACCCTGCGTGGAACAAGCCACATCCTAAGATAGCCCCAGTCCCCTGACCCCAAACTAACCCCTAAGCGCAATTCCTGGGCGCGATTTTCTAAACACTAAAACCTGAAACTCTAAACCTCGTATTGCGGCGCAAGGCTCAAGGGTCTTTGATCGATACAATCCAGAAGCAAACATGATCTTTGGCTTAGGCTTTAGGGTACAGGGTTTAGGGTATAGGGTTGGGGTGTAAGGTTTAGGCTATAGGGCTTAGACGCAAGAATGGTGGAGTTTTTCTAGGAAGCCCAACAAATCAGCATATAAGGTCCATATTTATGCCGGACCACCTACACATAACAGCAACAGCAGCAGAGTAATTCGGGTTTAGGAGACAGGGGTATGATAAGAAGCGAACTGGGCTACTGTCTGTGACATCCTAGCCCTAAACCCTGAACCCCTACACCCTAAACCCTAAACCCCTTAGCCCTAAACCCCTAAAGCATCAAACCCCTAAACCCTAAACGTCTATCCTGTCTACTTGGCCATGGCTTCACGTAAGCGGAAGCAGCTTGAGGATGATTCCCCTGGCAATCCAGAGGTCTGGGAAGATCTTCAGCTGAGACTGGGTTGCTGTTAACGAATCTAAAGCTTATATAATATAGGGTATACAAGGTATACTGGCTATACAGGGTATATAAGGTATACAGGGTATATAGGGTGTTTAGGGTTTCGGGTTTAGGGGCTTTGCTTGCCAGAATATGGGAATATTGTAAACAATGGGGTTTCCTGATTATTTCAACTTAACTTAAGTTCCTTAAATCCTTAACAGCAACCCAGGAGATTTACTTGTGGAGGCTCCACGCACATGTCGTCTGCCCTCTTGCGGATGTGCTCTCCAGTGTTCGATCGCATGCTTTCCTCCGACATGAAGGAGGCGCAGGAAAGGGTGATAGAGGTGGGAGTTGCAACGCAGCATGAGTTCGAGATCCTCTATGCGTTGTTGATGCCCGGCGCTTTCCTGACAAGGAGTGTGAAGCCTTCACAGGTGGAAAGCTTACTTCGAATTAGTGACTATTATGAGGTCAGCTTTATCAAGAAGGCTTGTGAGCAAAAGTTGCTTTCCCTTCCAGCAACACCTGCTCGGCTGATAGAGGCCAGCAAGTATCTGGGGCCATATTCAGGAGAGTTGGTACTTCCTGGGATGAGAGGTTCCTTACATAGCTATAAAAAAGGATCCGGGTCTTCTTAGGGGGTTTAGATCTAAGGTATGGCCTGAAACGGCAGCTTGCGCGGTGTGTCAAAGAGATATCGCCGCGGCTTGCTTTGCAGGATCTGCTGCAGGTCTACGACCACTCACCGGAGCTGCTGCTGGCTGTCACTTTCGCGCTTCGTGGGTGCGTCACTGAGGACTGCACTCGAGAGGGCCTGGGTCGAGTCGTTGCAAAGGTCAAGGAGGAGAAGGAGGAGGATGATGATGACGACTCACGTCTCATGTGAACGCAGCACATGGAAAACTGAACCCTCTCCCCTGGTCATGCTTAGTTGTAGTTGGTTAATAAACAACACTTCCGACCAATGTGCCTACATACTGCTTGCCCCCGCTTGCTAGGAATGAGGGAGTAGGTAGTAAGATTAAGATGGAAAATTGTATTGGGACTACTACAGGGACCTATTCCCTCATTATCAGCTCAGCATTGGTAGAACCAGGGATGGCGAATATTTGGTCTCGGGGCATCGCACACTTCGAGTACCAGAACCCTCAGAGTAAAATCCGGCCTGGCTGTTTATGCCGTAGGTAGGATGAAGAAGTTTCCGCTGCTACAGGAAGTCGGGCACAAATGATGAAGGTCCCTAAACTATTATAGTCCCCTTAAGTAGATAGACTATGGGGCATATGGGGATCTTATCACAATATACGCAAAGCCACAAACCATTATAGTCCCCCTTTAAGTAGATAGAATATGGGGCATATGGGGATCTTATTATAACATACGCAAAGCCATACTCTATCTACTTAAGCCACTTAAGTGGGACTGTACACCCACGCGCATTTCGGAGCTCGAAGCGAAGCTTTCAGCTTCGCTTGTCGAGTGCAGGGCAGAAATCGCACCAGTCAGGCCATTGAATGCTGAAGGCATGCTTGTAGCTCTGGGTAGGCCCCTGGGATATTTAATATTTTCCCTAATGGCTTAAATAAGGGACCCTATATACTAATGTTGTTCAAAGAGTTTTAGGGCCCGACCCAGAGCTTTAGCTAGGTTAGTAACTTACCCTGCCCGGTTCTACTGCCTCATAGGCAGTCAATGTCATGGCGCACTTCTGTTTCAATCCCTCCTTGGGTATCTAGGCAGTATGAAGCTTAAGCATTGCCCCCCAACCCTAAACCCTGACCCCCTAAACCCTATGGACCCTAGACCATCATATGCAACAATCACCCAATTGAGGCTAGGCGGCCTGGTAACCTCAAAATCATAGGGGCCCACGTGGAGAGTCAACAAGATGTGGTACATAGGTAATTTAATGGGGATAAGTGGGGCCTTAAAATGGCTTAGAGGGGTATAGGGGATCTTGACCTACTTCGTGAATCCCCTGACCCTCCAAGCATACTTAAGGCCTTAAATCCAAAACCCTGAATGGAGACTCCTTGTCAGACAGTGCCGGGAGCACATCTTGCACCACCCTACATGAAGTAGTGGAAATTCCTGGGCATTTGGGGGGCGTGAAGTGGTGTAAGATTCCCTCCATCCACCAAAGTACGCCAAAATGGGTAGGCAAGAGGGGTGTGATTCTCATTGGTTTGGGAATGGGTCAGGTTGTACACTTAGCCGACAATCCTTTCATCCCTTCCTGGCTATCACAACCACTCATAAGTAGATCCTAGACCACAAAGACTAAGCAGTGTAGCAGCTAGTGTAGCCGTTTCTTTTTTTTACTGTCCTGTCCCTGCTGGCCACCAGCCTCTTTCCTAGGTGTCCTGGGGCCACGCCAGTGCAGGCGGTGACTCCAGCACAGTGCTGCTCGCTCGCACACCTCCTTCACGTCATCCCTTGGGCTCCCTTTGAAGAGGTACTGGGCAATATACATGGCTTTACAGGCAAGTGTAGGGTCATAGTGTTCAGGGTCCGGGGATTTCCAACATCAGGGCCCTTTTCTGTGAGTTCTGAAAAGATGGATTAAAGCATCTTGAGATGTACATGGGGTCCCCTCTTTACGAACACCCTCTCAATAGCCCAAGGTAGGTATTATTCTGGAAGATTTGGTGAAAGGTCCCCAAAATATTGTTTTTAGACGTTCCCATTGTCCTGAGCCCGGATGCCCGTTTAAACGGGTCCACATACAAGGAAACGTAGCATGCCCTGGCACATATAGGCCAAGCCGAACTAGAGCATGGCCTTTTGCCAACCTTACCGCGTCTAAGGTTCCAGACCCGACCCCCTAAAGGATCCAAAAATGGAACCCCCCCAATATGAACCCATTATTACATTGGAGAAACTAGGGGATTATTGGCGGGGTCCATTTTTTGGATCCTTTAGGGGGTCTAGGGTTTAGGGTATGTGCAGCAGTTCCAATGTGGTCCATGAGATGTCCCGGTCCTGACTCTATGTGGCGGTCTCCATAAACATGAAATATGTGGATATAGTCCCCCTTAAGTAGATAGAACATGGCTTTGGGTACATTTTAATGAGATCCCCGTATACCCTATGGCCCTTTATTCTATCTACTAACGGGGGCCTGTAGATCAAGATCTGAGAGAGAGAGATAGATTTGAAAGCGGTTGAGATCTCCTAGTAGGAACGGACCACCCTGTTTATCAGGTTTCTTTTCACCTAAGCACCGTAGTTCAGTTCCAAGTCGTTGCATTCGTGGATTGTTTTGGGCTCTTGTCTTACCTTTTGGTGATTTGAAAACAGGTAACATTGCTTCTTAGATTTTCTCCCTCAGTTCTGGTAGCTCTTGATACGCAAGTCTTGTCACCCAAGCGCCCACGATTGTGAGAATGCACAAGCTCCAAGCCTTCAACTGAGCCTGTAGCTGCAGCTGTAGTGCTGTTGATTGAATCCATAAGCCTCAAACTTCCCCCCCCCTTTCCGCCCCAGTACTTCAAAACTGCAACAGCACCTTGTAAAGAATCATGGGAGAGACCCCTGAGATGCTGCTCCTAAATCCTGTCTTCTACATCCTTCCGATAGCTTTTCAAAGGACCTGAGCGCAAGCCTTTCCTGAGAAACCCGATGTTGGAACCCTAAAACCTAAATCCCCTGGACATGCTCCCCAAGATCATGTACTGTAGAAGCCTATAAGATCAGTAGTAGTGTCCACTGGTGACCCTTATAGTAGAACGTACCACCAAACCCTATTCTAGTTGAGATGGGTTGAGATGGGCTTTGAAGCGTTCGGGCTGCACGCTGCAAGGAGCGATCAGCTCTACGACATCGTGGATGTTGTGGCCACATCGTCCTTTGGCTTAGGAATTTCAGATCGTAGGCTTTGCTCTGGATTTACAGTATAAGGCTCGGAGCTTCAGGTGTAGAAACAAAACAAATGGAAACCGCGCCCCTAAACCCTAAACCCCAAAACCCTAAATTTCAGGTCCAGGGCGTAGGGCATAGGGGCCTGGGCCATGCCAGTTTTACCTTCCCTTCTCGGACCCCAGCAAAACATATCAAGAACAGCTTCAGCTGTTTTAGGGTTTAGGGTTTAGAGTGGTTACCCCAGCAGCGCTCATAGAAGCCTCTGCATGCGCTATGTGAGCTCTAGGCCTCTTTGAACCTGACAACTACCCACCGGGAAGAGCCCTTGAATATGCTCCCCATGCTTTACAGATAAGCAAAAACCTGAACCCTAACCTCGAAATCCTACACCATATACGATTGTTGCCTCTCTGTTGGGATGTTTTTCCCAACTCTGGAGATCCAAACAGCCCAAGATGGATCATATGTAACCACCGAAAGTGAGCATTATCTTTAGATCGAAGTAGGCACCATAAAAGGCCGAAAAGTAGGCAACATATATAGAATTCAAGCCCAGAGGAGGTATTATCCCTAAGGGTCCAAGGACCCAAATAATAGGGTGTTAGGGCCCAAATACTTCAATATTAATGGTATTTGGGCCCTAAAACCCTATAATTTGGGTCCTTGGACCCTTAGGGTATTTGTAGACTTACATACCCAGCTTGGGTTCTTTGCCCTCAGGTTTTGATGCTCATGCAGTGACATAAGAACTGCACTCCCGCAGAGAATGGATTTGGGATTCCGGGCGTAGAGTTTTACGGTTCAGGGTTTCTTCAGGGTAAAGTCCTGCACGACCCTATCGACTCAAACTGTGGAAACTATGGTAGTACACTAATGCTATTCAGGATTTTGTAGATCAACAGTAGCAGCACTAAGAGTGTTTGTTTGCGTTTCGCCAGTGCGGCACCAACTTTTCTGAGGAAAATAGCAGGCTTCCGCTCCCTAAACCCTAAAACCCTCCACCCTACAGTCTGGAAGCCTCACGGTAGCCATTTGCTGGCCAGAACTTACAAATCCCAAAGCCCAGATCCTATAATATACGGGCCTAAATAACTACCAATATTCTGGTTCCATATTCCTTGTATAAGTATACTATATGGTACCTCAACTGGACGTCAAAATGATCTTGGCAATTATTTAGGCCCCTGCAGTATCGTTGTATCCCCAAACCCAGAACTTGAATCCTCATAGCTCAGCACCTAAGGCAGTAATCCTTGTAACCCAAACCCAGATCCTGGGTCCTTATGTGCCAAATCGCAGATCCCACACCCCGACAACCCAAAATCTCTTTAATCCAAAGCCGAGATCCTCAATCTCATGGGTCTCCCTACAACAACCCCTAGATGCCCCCATAGCTCAGTTTAATTATGCTTGCAATAATTATCCCAAAAGATCATTAATTAGGGGGGAACTTGGGGGGCAGCAATTTTCATATGGGGGTTTAGGCTAGTAGGAGGACCCATGATAACCTAAACTCTAATGCAGGGCGCTGAGCCTAGGAATGGTTTTGCGGCTCTCCGCCAGGATGACATGATCATCACATGGTGACAGCTTACATGAGCCATGTTCTAAAGCTTAGGGTCTAGGAACGTCTCCAGTAGAACCGTGGAAATATTGCACCATTGCATGCAGCTCCGAATATGGTAGTTGCCAGATTTCAGCCATCCTAAAAAAGTGGTGCAAGATGTCCTCCATCCACTGTGTGGGGTTCTGAAGGGTTGTGTGCCAGGCGCGGACTCTGGGAATTACAGCCATGAATGGATGTTGATATTTGTTTTGGTTGTGGTGTATGCTGTATACGAAGACTTTTAACATACCGCAACCATGTGGGAGGATTAGCTTTCAATGCTTTTCGAATAGCATGGTTGACAAAAGCTGTTGGCAGCTTGGGGCTCCAACAGTAGCAAGCACCCTCACCCTGTTCATTGCCACCATGATTATTCGGGCTGCTTTGGGGAAGTCACCGAAACAATTCCAACAGAGCTT